GAGATCCAGCTGAGCCATGCCAACCGCCAGGCTGTTGAGGCACAGAAGCACCTGCACAGCACCAAGGGAGTTCTCAAGGTCTTGGTGTGCCTTTCTGGTTGATTTGTTTTTAAGCACATTATATTAGAATTTAATTAGGTTAAAATGGGCTCTTCATATTTAGGACACGCAGCTGCACCTGGATGATGCTGTCAGGACACAGGAGGACCTGAAGGAGCAGGTGGCCATGGTGGAGCGCAGAGCAAACCTGCTGCAGGCTGAAGTTGAGGAGCTACGGGCAGCCCTGGAGCAGACGGAGCGGTCGAGGAAACTGGCTGAGCAGGAGCTTCTGGATGCCACCGAACGTGTGCAGCTCCTCCACACCCAGGTAGTTTGCTTTCTAAGACAGACACATCTTTGGGTCCAGAGAAAGAACAAATAGTCATTCATGGTGTCTGTGTGCAAGAGACCAAAGACAGACACTCAAAGCCTTTGTTTCTCTCCTCCATAGAACACCAGCCTTTCCAATACAAAAAAGAAGCTTGAAACTGATAAGGCGCAGATCCAAACTGAGATGGAAGATATTACTAATGAAGCTAAAAATGCTGAAGAAAGAGCAAAGAAGGCAATCACAGATGTGAGGATGTTACTGTGTTTTTCTCTTTGAACTTTCAGGGCTTCTCAATGACATTGCTGCCAGGAGTTTATGTAAATGCTCTTGTCACAAGTTTGACAAAGGACCAGTCTGTGGGCCTGCTTGAAGAGGCTGTGTGAGAGGAGGATTAGAGCAACAGGGAACTTGTCCTGCTGACAGATGAGTTCCTGGGGCTGTTGCCATCATCATGAACTAAACCCACAGTTAGTCAGTCTAAACCAAGTAACATTCTCCAGTGCTGCATGAAAATGTAAACCACAAAAAATTCCTCCAGTATTGAAACCATTAAGGAGTCTAATGTATTTAAATATTTGTCTTTTCAAAATCCTACTTAAGAACTTTTCAGAGAGAATTGTGAGAATTGTGAGTCTCCTCAAAATTGGTGCTATATCCTTTTGTGCAAGGCCAGTGAGGCTGAGCCAGGCAATAGGGCCTATATACCATGGGACCCAACCTGATAGTGATTTTTGATGCTTAGGATCAAAACAAAATCTTGACACTTTAAAATGTTATTTGGAGTTAAAATAGAAGAAAAACTTCTCCACTTGCTCATGAAAATTAAAAAGAAAAGTTAGATCATTTAGCTTCCATTTGAATAATATAGAAAAAGAATGTTACGATGAATTATACACGCAAGTATATATTTTTATATATATAAAATTTCTAGTGCCATTATTTTTTTCTCACATTTTTCAGTTTAGACTTTTACAAGAGGTATTTTTCTGCCATAGAAATTTGTTGAATTGTACATTATTTGTAAGTAATGTCACTCAATTATTTCACCAGAATGCTTAATCTGATTGTGTAGGACTCTAATGTTTGGAAGCAAAATATATCCTACTTCTCTCTTAGATAACATAGATTTTAAACTATTTTCTGCCTTGTAAAACCAGCCATTCAGGCTATTGTGGCAAAGCCAGGGCATGCCCAAAGCACAGCCCACAGACTCTATCACACTCCACATGTGTTGTGCAGAGAAGCCTTTCAGCTGGGCCAAGCTCCCAAGCTTTGCTGTGGCTCCTGCTCTACCCCATGGCACCTGGGTGTCACGGAAGGTCACAGTAAGGACCATGCAGTCCAGGACAGAGCATTTACCTGTTCTGTTGTTCCAAGCTCCACCATGTGGCAGAGTTTTTCCCCACCCTTTTTCCTACAATTTCCTGTCATGTTTCTGCCACTGTCATGTCACATAATAAAATGAAGCATGAAATTTGGTGGCAGGAATGGTCAGCAGGATCCAGGAATAAATCCTCAGGTGGTACACAGCACACTCTGCTCTTTCATGTTCTTCCAGTTTCTTGTGTCATTTCTCTCTGCAGGCGGCCATGATGGCAGAAGAGCTGAAGAAGGAGCAGGACACCAGCGCCCACCTGGAGAGGATGAAGAAGAACCTGGACCAGACGGTGAAGGACCTGCAGCACCGTCTGGATGAGGCTGAGCAGCTGGCTCTGAAGGGAGGCAAGAAGCAAATCCAGAAGCTGGAGGCCAGGGTGGGTACCAGGACTGAACACGAGTATCAAATATACCTTTCTTCTCTGAGTCCTCTGTGAGGGCTCAAGTTAATTGTTGATTGATTGACCAGATCCGAGAGTTAGAAGCTGAGCTGGAACAAGAACATAAACAATCCACAGAGGCTATGAAAAACATCCGCAAATATGAACGGCGTGTGAAAGAGCTTGCTTGCCAGGTGGGTGTGAATAGAAAGCAATTCCGTATATGTTTTGTCTCCCAAAGATGTATAATTGCACATTGCCTTTACACAGAATGAAGAACATAAGAAGAATACAATGAGGTTACAAGATCTGGTAGATAAACTGCAGATGAAAATCAAATCCTACAAAAGACAAGCTGAGGAAGCTGTGAGTCACTAAAAACTAAAGCAAATACTTATTTAGCATTTTCTAGGACTGTCAGTTTAGAAGTTGGCTCTGTGCCCCAGTGTGTTGCCAGGTGGTTTTCAGTGCCTTTTGTTTTGCCATTTCAGGATGAACAAGCCAATACTAATCTCTCCAAATTCAGAAAAGTACAGCATAAGATAGAAGATGCTGAGGAAAGGGCAGATGCTGCTGAGAGTCAAGTAAACAAGCTCAGAGCTAAAACCTGAGAAGTCCCTGCCATAAAGGTAAGCCTTTACTGTAGGAGGCAGGAGACCAGTTTGTTCTGTCTGCTCAAGCAAGTCAAACAGTAGGTTTGTGCCTGACTGGTGGGTGTAGCCATCGCTCAGAAAGGACAGTTCTGCAAGGAAGGGACTTTGAAGAAAGGCTGAGAGGGTTGGGGTTGTCCTGCCTGGAGAAGAGAATTCTCTTAGGAGACCTTATTCTGGCATTTCAATATATAGAGGGGACTTATAAGAAAGACAAAGGCTATCTACAGGGCCTGTTGCGACAAGACAAGAAGCAATGTTTTCAAACTGAAACAGGGAAGGTTTAGGTTGGACATAAGGAAGAAACGTTTTATGATGAGGGCGGTGAGACACTTGAACAGGTTGCCCAGAGAAGTTGTGGTTACCTCATCACTGGAAGTGTTCAAGCTTAGGTTGGACAAGGCTTTGGGCAACCTGATCTAGTGAAGGATGTCCCTGCCCATGGCAGGGGTATTGGACTAGATGATCTCTGAAGGTCCCTTCCAGATCAAACCATTCCATGACACTATGATTCTGTAACTCTGGCACTTCAGGCTCTGGTGCCAAGCAGGAGCTTTCTGGCTAGTTTCATCACATTTCATCACACTGCCTCACAAAGTGAAAGTAAAAAGAGCCAGCCTAACTCTGAACATTCCTGAAACAACCTTCCTGTGAACCTTAGGCAGAATCAATGTTCTGATTGAGAAATATGCAGCAGCACTGTGTCCTTAACTGGACTTCCTGGACAGTTGTCTACCTCCAATCCAAGACTGTTTGGTACAAGATATAGAGCCTATTTTCCCTAGTGTGATCTGAGCAAGTTTAACACCTATTGATTACACTAGTCTAGCTCAGTTTGTGGTTGGAGGTAAAATACCCTCAGTCTACATTTTAGAAAAATTACTAATGCCTAGAACACGTATTCTGGAAATGGAGAACTTTGGCTCCAGGCTGCCTTCTGCTTACCCACAGCATCCTCTTGCTCGTACAACATTTTATCTCTAGAAGAGATGCTATGGAGAACATGCTGAAGGCATGGCCTGAGACTCAATAGGCAATGCTGGTTCTGCCAGAGGCTGATGTTCAACTTCCAGTGAGACTCTTCTTGCCATGCTCCAGTGAAAGGCTTGGACTTCTCAATGCTTATCAGGGTATCCTGTCAAGACCCCAGGGAAGAACACACTTGGAAGGCTGAGTCCAGGTTCTTGAGCAAAGTCTCTAGACGTGAGATTACCTTATATAAGGAGTGCTGAATCTCATATTGAAAATCCAGACAGAGGCAAGATTTCGGTATCTCCTACTGGGTAACCCCAGGTAAAGGCAGGTTGAACATACTGACTGTGGGTAACTCTGCAATATGCTAATAGTTTTAGAATCTGCTTTGAGGTGCCTGATACTGTGCAGTGGATATAGAGTCTGGGCACCTGGCACAAGTTCTGGATTCTTGTCTAGGAGATCTAAAAATAAAGCATTGTAATGCCTAAATCTTTTAACAGATCCAATGGATCAATACATCCTTTTACTCCCTTCCATGCTTTACATTCACTTTTGGAAATGCTGGGATACGCCTTGTCCCAGAGGATGTTTAAGCACTGCAGTAGTAAAGAAACAATTCAGAAAAGCCAACAGACAGGTTTATCCATGTCAACCCATTAGTCTAACAGCAGACAGATGTGTGCAGACGCCACTACATTGACCTGGGCCCCACTGGTACATCCAAGTTGAATGGTGTGTTGAGATAGATGGTTTTAGGGACCAAAAGACCCATCTTAACATGTGTTGACTAAATGAAACCTCTTCTTTCCAGGTGGTGTTAGGAAGTGAAAAATGAGCTTCCTGTTGGATAACCAGAACTTACTCAAAGCATCTTTCAAGCTGTGGATTTGCAGTAGCTAGAGCTACACTGATAGGAAGTAATCTTCCATCTGCCTCTGGACACAAACATTCTCTGTCACTCCGCTGCTGTACCAGTGTCAATAAAGTAGATATCTGCCACTTCAGATGCTCCAAATGTTGATGTTCAGATGAGAAGTGTTTTCTTTCTAAGTTAAGCATAGTCACAAGTGTGGGTTCAAGTCTTAGTGCTGCTATGGTGATTTTTGAGCAATTTTGTCTTGACCCTGAAATCTATGTGTTTGTCAGGCTTTCTCCATACCTTCTGCCTGAAAGCAAATGTACCTTGACCTTGTTAAATGAAGCTGAGAATAAACTATTTTATGAGCAAATGTGGTGTCTTGAACATGCGATGTGTACAAAGTTACTATGCTTAGTTTCACTGCTGTATCTCTGCATGGGGCAAGAAGACTGGTCCAGCCTGTGAGCCCACAGCCAACCGTGTGCATTACAAATCAAGTATTTCTAATCTCCTTGTAGTCAAACTACACTTCAGAGAGTTGTCCCACTTCTGAGCTGTCCAGTGTTGCAGCTCTGGGCAGATGAGGACTTGAACTCTGGTGTCTCACATACTTGTTACATTGGGAATAGTTATCAAATGGTCTGTAATGTGAGCAGCAAAATCTGAGTTTGAAGCTTTTCTCCCCAGTGGCACTTGGGCACCTTAATTCTGCTTGGTGTTTCCTAAAAAGAAATACATGTGCAGCTTTTTGTGATGTATGTGTGGTGTAGGAACTGCAGGATCTCAGGTAGTGAGAAAACCCAGATGCTTTGGCACTGATGAAGGCTGCTGAAGAGGTGTACCTGGCAGCACAGTCAGGGCCAGAGACTGAATGGAATACCTTTGTGCAGACAACACAGTGCTCTGAGAAGATGAATTAGTTTGTGCACAGGACTATGCTGTCAAACAGGAGGCTGACACTGTTGAGAAGTTCTAGCTGACTGCTTCATGTCTGTGTGCCTAGGATAGGTACATCCAAATGGATCCCTCCTTACCTGGCTCCAGGCCACAGCCACACCGGTGCTCAGGAAGCAGTCTGGCCTGCTTCTGCTGTCAGTAACAAGAATCACAGAATCACAGAATGTTAAGGGTTGAAGGGACCTTGAGAGTTCATCTAGTCCAACCCCCCTGCCAGAGCAGGACCACCTAGAGCAGCCCACACAGAAACGCCTCCAGGTGGGTTTTTAAATGTCTCCAGAGAAGGAGACTTTACAACCCTTCTGGGCAGCCTGTTCCAGTGCTCTGTCACCCTCGCAGTGAAAAAGTTTTCCTTATATTTCTGTGGAACCTCTTATGTGCACTGTCAGCAACTTTGCTGACAATACAAAACTGGGAGGAGGGGCTGACACACCAGAGGCTGTGCTGCCATTCAGTCATACCTCGACAAGCTGGAGAGCAGGGCAGGGAGAAATCTAATGAAATACAACAAGGGCAAGTTTAGAGTCTTACATCTAGCAAAGAATAACCCCATGGACCAATACAGGTTGGGGACTGACCTGTTAGAGAGTAGCACAGGGGAAAGGGACCTGGGGGTCCTGGTGGACAGCAGGGTGACCATAAGCCAGCAATGCACCGTTGTGGCCAAGAAGGCCAATGGCATCCTGGGGTGTGTTAGAAGGGGTGTGGTTAGTAGGTCCAGAGGGGTTCTCTTGCCCCTCTACTTTGCCCTGGTGAGGCCACACCTGGAATATTGTGTCCAGTTCTGGGCCCCTCAGCTCAAGGACAGGGAAGTGCTTGAGAGAGTCCAGTGCAGAGCCACAGAGATGATTAAGGGAGTGGAACATCTCCCGTATGAGGAAAGGCTGAAGGAGCTGGGTCTCTTTAGCCTGGAGAAGAGGAGGCTGAGGGGTGACCTCGTAAATGTCTATAAATAAGTCAAGGGGGAGTGTCAGGAGGATGGAGCCACCTCGTCTCTGTGATGTTCGATGATAGGATTAGGGGCAACGGGTGCAAGCTGGAACGTAAGATGTTCTGCAGAAATATAAGGAAAAACTTTTTCACAGTGAGGGTGACAGAGCACTGGAACAAGCTGCCCAGAAGGGTTGTAGTCTCCTTCTCTAGACATTTAAAACACATATATAGTGTTCCTATGTGACCTGCTCTGGGTGGTCCTGCTCTGGCAGGGAGGGGTTAGATGAGATGATCTTTCAAGGTCCCTTTCAGCCCTTAACATTCTGTGATTCTGTGATTGAAAGAAACACACAGCCATGGTCACTAACTTGACAACTCTAGTTACTTCAAGGAAGCTGAGCCGTGGTGATTCAGGGCAGCAGGA